GACATGGTGCCAGCCACGTTGCCAAACCCAGGAGACACACCACCACCTCCTCCAAGCTTTGCTTGCGTATCCGTCAACCTTCAGGCAGTATACAATACCTGCTATCTGGCACTACATCACTTCCGCCTCCCGCGCACAGCAGCAACATCTTTCAAGCCCAGCATCGTTCTCATCGCCTCGCTTGCAGCCTACATTGGATACCCATATAGCACTACATACAGCATGTCCAAGTTCGGTGTTCGAGGACTTCTGTACAGCCTGCGCGAGCGCGCCATGCACTCTTCGATCCGCATCAATCTTGTTGCACCCTGGTACGTGGATACCGGCATCGCCAAGCAAGCCGACTTTGTAGAGGACAACGGCGCTGTTCTCAAGATCATAGGATTTGTATCCATGGACAGAGTCGTGGATGCTGTGGTGAGGTTTGCTTCGGTTCAAGAGTTGTGTGGAAGAAGCGTGGGCATCTTCCCTAAGGGCAGCGAAGATCTTCTCGACGATCTGGAAGGTGGATACGGCGGCGCGATAGTGAGTAAACATATGCGCGAGGTTCAAGCAGTCGTCGTGCAGGAGATGCAGAAACAGATGCAAACGTAGTTTATTACCCAGTAGACCCGATATGAGAGATGTCTTCGCGATATCGGCTTTGTCAATCACGACTGTCGACATCACATACTGGTTTGATGTTGATGTCAACCAGAGTCACGCTGATTCTCATCCCACAATCTCTGATCGCATGGCCGTGTGGAAAATAGTACGATGTTACCACTGCCATGTGGGCCCGCGTTTGTACAAGCCATCGTACATGATGTACAATATGTCTTGCCACCCAACGTAGACATTTTCGCCGCCAGTACTAGATGTTTTTGTGCTTAGCCTTGGTTCACGCGCGTAGCCATATGCCTGAGAAGCTTAAGAGAAGCTAGCTTCGGGACGCCGGAAGGGGCGTTTGTGAACGGATGCAACATCGCATCCCTCTGGACAGGCGAGGCCCACCAAGCGATCAACGCAGACCTGTCCATAAAATTTTGTCGGGTCTGTCCGCCTCAACCGTCCGTAGTCTTTCGCCCGCCGGTATGTTGTTGCGCCGTTTGCAATGAAAGCCCTGGGGCGTGTGAGAAATGTCTAAGTATATCTATGCGAAGAGAATGCCACATCGAACAAAACAACAACATCAAACATGCCACACATCCAGGAACCCCAAATGAAACGAGAACCACGAACCGGTATCAACATTCTCGTCGTGGGAGGCGGCATCGGCGGACTCACCTTTGCAATCGAGGCCCACCGCAAAGGCCACGATGTGCGCGTTCTTGAACGGAATGACGAAGGTCAATACTCGGGTATGTACCTCCCATCCAACTATCGATCTCTACACGAACCAAACTAACAAACCGACAGGTGAGATCATCATGATCACCAGCTCAGCGCTCGAAACGCCCAAGAAATGGCCAGGATTCTTAGAACGCCTCAGAGCCCTCGCATCGCCACCAACCTTTGACCTGCGCAAATACGACGGCACATTCCTCCAACACCATGCTCCTGGCGACTCTGCAAATCCGTCTTTGAGCATCTACCGAAAGAGGCTGCATAGTTTGCTGAACACCTACGTCAAAGAGCTCGGTATACCCATCACGTACGACGCGAAAGTGGATGCATACTTCGATTCAACCACATCAGGCGGTGTTGTTCTCAAAAGCGGTCAGAAGATAACTGCAGATGTGGTGGTAGCCGCAGATGGCGTAGGCTCTAGGTCCCGCGAGATCATCGACGGGAATAGAGAGAAGCCGATTAGTTCTGGCTTTGTTGTTTACAGGACTTCTTTTCCTACTGGGCCGGCGATGGACAAGTATCCCCTTGTTGCGAGGGAGTTTCTGGGGCACGATCACCGTGGTTTCATGTATATTGGTCCCGGCGCGCATATGGTTATTTCTCATGACAATGGCGAGCTGTGCTATCTATTGACTTGTAAGGTTTGTAGTCGCTGGTTCATTGGCCTTGTAGATCGTTGCTAACTTCTATCAGGATGAGAACGGTACGGCAACAGAGAGCTGGTCGAAAACCACTTCCACGGATAGGATTCTGGATGTTGTAAAGGATTGGGATCCTTTTGTTACGGAGGTGATCAGGGCGACACCTAACAATCAGGTGCTCGACTGGAAGCTGATGTGGCGTGATCCACAGCCGCAGTGGGTGTCGAAAGGCGGCCATGTCGTGCAGCTGGGCGATGCTGCCCATCCCTTCTTGCCTACGTCGTTCAGTGGCGGTACGATGGCGATGGAAGACGCGTACTCGCTAGCAGCCTGTCTACATGTTGCCGGGAAGCAGCACGTTGCGCTTGCAACCAAGGTGCACAATAAGCTGAGGTATGCCGGTACGGATCGTGGAGAAACACCAGCGACTAACCTTAAAACGATAGGTTCGAGCGAGTGTCCTGCGCACAGAAGCTAGGATTCAAGAATCGTGAGATCTTTCACAACACCGACTGGAAAGACGAAAAGGCGGCGCCGACAAAGCAGCACAAGATGGTCGGAGATTGGTTGGTCTGTCACAACCCCGAGAAGTATGTTTACGATAACTACCACAAGTGTGCTGAGCATTTGGACACGGGTGTCGAGTTCTTGAACACGAACATACCGCCAGGATACAAGTACAGACCGTGGACCGTCCGCGGGCTGCTGGGGGCCTCGGAACGTGGCGAAGTGGTTGAGGATGAAGGCGACTGGTCCTGAACGAGGACAAGCTTGCAAAATGCCGCGTTAACACTGTAGCTACTTCAGCTTATCGGTTGGCCATGCTGGCAACATCTCTTCTCGATGTATAAATATGGGCATCCGGCGGCAACTGTCGATGCTGATTAGAATTGCCGAACTTCATGCTTCCCTCTGCTTTCTCCTACCTCCGCTCCCTGCGGCTTACTGTTCTGTCGCTCGTATCCGCCGAACTTATAGCATGCCAGTATGCCTGGCTATTGCTTGCCATTGTATAGGCATGTAGTATGCCAGATGCCAACTTGGCATGTCCTCTTGATGAATAACCTCGCCATTTTATCCATCTGCTGCCTCTGAGTCGTGGAAACAGCCAAGCCGCAATTACATCTATTATAACGCTCGAAGAGAACGCGCACATCGCCTCCTACAACGATACCGGCACCTTGGTTGTGGACGAGTGCGGTCGGGTTCCGTTCGAGGAGCGTGGCATCGTGCGCGCGTGTAGGGGGTGCTCTGAGAGCGCGGACTGTGGCAAGGTCGCTTGAAAAGGCTCCAGCCTGCCCGGTGGCGCCAGTTTATGCCCGTGATACGAAACGCGCGTAGGTTCTGGAGCGTACGACGATGATGTTGAGCTTCTCATGGTGGCATGAGGAAAGCTTCGCGATTGCGTGCTGTCGTGTTCCAACACACGTGTCTTCAGCCAATATCCCAACCATCTGTTGTATTGAAAGGAGGCAAGTTAGGCATAATAAAGCTCCCTTCGCGCAATGATCGCGTGGATTAGGGGTGTTGGTGGATAAACGTCCCATGACGACAAGCTCAACGTCGCTGAATGCCGAGGGATGTCGGAACGCTGCTCGGAACGGCTTGGCCCGACTTGCCCTCCCATCCATCCAAGCTGCACTCCATCGGCAAGAATCTTAGTAAGACTCGAACATTTCCCATATCAACCATGTACTTCCCAGCTTCTGACTCAGGCCTGAAGTACTCGCGATATTGGGAAACTCTACCGTCGCGGCACTGAAGCATGACGGCCGATCGCGGAGCTCGAGGCCTTGTCGCTGTAAGTCAATCTCCATCATCCCCAGCGCAACAAAACTGACTGGGTACCTAGATAACAGGCGCAAACGGAACAATAGGCTATGCCTGCGTGGTCTACGCGCTGCAAACTGGCTATCGAGTCCGGTGCATCGTGCGCCGCGCCTCCGCCATCGAAACGATCAAAACCGGGTCCTCTGTGCAGCCCTACCTCGACCTAATCGAATACGTCGCTGTGCCAGACAATGCGGTCGAGGGAGCATACGATGAAGCTGTTGCGGGTGTCGACTATGTTGTGCACATAGCAGGAGCATGGCCGATGCTCCATCTGGATCCTGACAACGACATCTACCATCCATACATCAGGTCGACGAGGGGCTTGATAGAAGCAGGGCGGAAGTCTGGCACAGTGAAGAGGATGGTATTCACGCAGGCTGGAGCGGGGCTTGTTGACTCTGAAGACGGCGATACACTGGGTACGCGTATGGAACGCGTCTTGGACGGTACGTCTCTTTGCTTCTGCTCTCGCGCCTCACTTCATGCATCGTACTGACCGATACAGAGGGAGTTCAGGTTTCGCAAACATCCCTCGCATATCGACCCCCTCTCAAATCCCCGCACAACGCCTACTGCTCCGCAAAAGCCCAATGTATGACCTACCTCGCTGATCTCCAAGCTTCCCACGAGCTCCCCTTCTCTATCGCGCAAATTATACCCGGTACCGTCATCGGCCCTTCGGAGTTTTGCACAACGTCTGAGCAAGCGCGTGCGCATATGGATCGACAGAGCAAGGCATTGCTGTTCGATGATGTGGCACCACGGTATGCGTTTGGTTTCGTGCATGTGCAAGACTGCGCTCGCATCCATATCGAGGCGCTAGATGGGAGGGTTAGAGGCGAGGACCTGCCCAAGTGGTATGTTGCCGCTGGGACGGTGGAGGAGGGGTCAAATGGGGACAAACTCTGGAACTCTGTGGCGGACATGATCGAGCGAGACTTTGCCAAGGAGGTCAAGACTGGGGTTTTCACATTGGGACGCCAGAAGGTGCCTATCAACATGCCATTCCGCGTCGAATCAAGCATGACGGAGAAGATGCTGCTGAATGGTGACAAGATCAGGGGGCTAGAGGATAGCGTGAGAGAGGTCGCGGAGTGGTATATTCAGCTTAAAAGAACAGAGGAGAAAGCAGATGTGTAAACTGGGACAATGTTGAGGACGAGTTGAATCCATCGAATCAGTCTGATGTCGTACGTCCTACCACTTGAAGCTTTCTTCAAAGTACTCCACCCCTCTAAAACCTTTATCCAACATCTGGACACTCGCTCTCCTAGCTTGATCCGCCATCAAAGCTGGTCCACAAGCCACAATCGCCAGACGTTGCTGGCCCGCATCTCTAGCAGCCTCTTGAACTGTTTCATGTACGTCAGGTCTGTGTGCCATGATTCTTACGCTCTTCAGGTCTTCGCCCAACACATCGTCTTTTGCCTCATCATCCCGAGTGACGTGCACTTCCATCTCGACTCTCTCATCACTCAACAAGCCTCTGAAGTCGCGGAGAACAGAAGTGAGGAACGCGTACTCGCGTACTGCCCATACAATCTTCACACTGCGTACACGTGATGTACTGGCTAGAACGTGGGCTAGGTGTGATAGCGGGACTGCGATACCCGTTCCACCGACTACAAACAAAATGTTTTGTGAACTGCGGAGAGGAACAGTGTGTCCATAAGGCCCTTCCACAAGGATGCGGAGTCTTTTGGGATGCAAGAGACAATGTGACTTCAATCGTGATGTGAAGCCGTCATACGGTCGGACAAGAAACACCATGTTCGATGAGGCATCTGAGGCTTTAGACGAAAGGAGTGCATCCGACTCTGTGGTTGAGGCTGATGAAGTACGCGAGTGTTCCGGCCTCGCTGAAAGCGGCGATAGTGGCGTAGATGGAGGATTGTCCGTATCTTTTGAACTGTATGCCAACGTGAACGGATGGCTCTGATGTGCATAGAACAGATCATCCAACACGTGGATGTAGTAGTAAGAGCCAGGCCTTGGGGCTACTAAGCTCTTACTACTATCGACTTCCATACGCACGAGGTTACTGCTAGGATCATAAGTAACCCTAGCCTTGGTACTCAGCGGGCTGCGGTTGAAAGCTAAGATTCGTGAGAGGCGCATGATCCGGTCAAAGACCCAGACACCAACGCATGGCCAGATGAATATGTTCCACTCGCCATTAGTGAAAATCTCAACATGGTAGTACATAGTCCAGAGGGTTGCGATTGAGAGCGCTATGTGCGTGACGAGGAAGAACTCGTAGTGCGCACGACGGATACCGTAGAACGAGAACACCAAAAGACCGCACATGGCGATGGTTGACAGTTCGCCGTTCCAAAAGTAGTGCTTCGTCCAGTAGTTTAGGAAAGATGGCCATCCTCCGCGCTCCAGTATCATCAGCGTGTATCCAACACTGTGCACTACGGCTTGTACTGTGGCGACCCTTGCCGCCCACCGATGGAAAGCATTGTAGGTACCGAAACCCCATCCAGTCACCCAGATCAAAAGATCATTGCGCATACCAAAGAGCCAAACGAGTGGGAAGTTCGCGAGCGATATGATTCCCGTACGATCCGATACAAAACGGAGAAATTGCACTGACTTCTTTGGCCAATAAAGGTTGCCTTCGGTAAGACGGTAGGAACAGCTGCAGAGAACAACGTTGAGTGCGACAAAAAGAAAGATGGTAAGCGACTGGATCCGTGGTGGGATGGTACACCAGCCGTACGGTCGAGAACAACGATCACCAAAAGCGGCAGGTGTAGTAACGTATCGCCTGAGCCATGTTCGGAGGGAAACCAAGGGACTTCGAGGTCCAGAAATCCGGCCGGATTCGACTTCTGGGACTGTTTTGTATGACATGTGGCGCTGTTCACTGCGTAGAAGTGACAGTATACGCGTCGTTACACCAACGGCCACTACTACGAGCCAGAAGTAGTACATGTACCAGCTATGGGTATTATATTAGCGAAGTCGCGCCTAACGGGATACAGGCTCGACTTACCCATACACGAGATGGATCTCGTATTCCCAGAATGCCGCTTCCTGTACGCCACATTTAGCACTCCATAGTCTTATCGGCCGTATAGGCAGAAACGTACCATGGTGGTGAAAGCTCGCCTTACAAGCTCATCACTTGGTATCACAACTTCACCAATGGTCGGAAACTTCAGTGCCTTTTCAGCCGCCAGTCGCGTCACTCTGGCCTTGTCGTCAGGGGTCCATTGGTCCAGAACATCGCGAAAGGAAGGTAATGTAATGTTCGCGTGTGCTTCACACCAGGGTTTCTGGTCCTCGATCCATTTTTCTGTCTGGCCGTCCTGTATGCAGAACTCGTCGAAGCACAGATACAGTGATGTGAGGCGTAATTCACTTTGGCATCCTCGGATCTTGCTCGAAAGCGAAGGGTCGGTGTCGTTGAAGGTTACATAGTTGACGCCGGTCTCACATGCCAAAGGGCAGTACTTTCCCGAGTACAAAGCATGTGATGCATCTGTAAGAGTGTACAGAATGATGGAGACGGATGAAGTGCGCATGAGTGGACGCGATGAGGTACAAGATGGGGCGACGCAAGCTCGGAGTCGGAGATTGGCGGGGTCGTGAAATCTTATCAGATGTCTACGCACGGGCCCGCGCTGGCATCAGGCGCGCTTCTTTCGCGTCAGCCGGGTTGTTGCTTCGAGCTTGCAGAGGGCCAGTGTCTGTGAGAACAAAGTTTACGCAGCGGCCGTACTCGTTGTCCTAACTTCCTGTGGCACCACGTCATGTCTCACACCGCCTCAAAAGCGACCTTCCTCTCTTTACCTATCGAGCTCCGCCTAGAGATTGTCGCATACGCGCTGGAACAATCTGATGCGGGACTCACGAAACTCCACGAGTCCAATGAGGGACAAACTTGTTCTACGATAGATGAGAGGTACAAAGCTAGTATCAACCTTGCGATACGGCTGGTTTGCCGCCAGTTCAACGCTGAGTTCCGTCGCCTTGCCATCCACAGTACCCTCTTTGTGCTCGCCAGGAACTCCACACGAGTTGCCGGTCAGCAAGTCGAAGAGCTTCTACAAGATGTAAAGAAGTTGAGGATTCACTGCGACCATGAGACCATCGGGAAATGGTACGAGTACCCGTTGAACAGGCAATGTATGCATCTCGATGAGCTACAGTTTGTAATGCCACTCGACGACTCTGCCAACCGGACAGCCCTCGTGGGTCTGCTCAGAGGTCTGCGCAACGTCAAACAAGTCAAGCTCCTCTTCCCGAACCATCGTGTTGCAAAAGAGCCCTATGGGTACATCAGATTACTCGGCGAGTTGCTCAAAGAAGACCATTTCCAGAGATACGATGCCCCGAACGCCCCCAATTTCGAGTCTACATGTTGGGAGTGGAGTTTTGACAAAGAGTCTAGTTGGGCTGTCTTCGTGGCTCGGGAACCTATGGCGCTTATCCCGGAAGAGCATTACTTGCTGCTCATGAAGCCGAAGATCGACTACATTATGGATTACATGGCATCATAGCACCAAAACGGTAGTAGTCACTGTGCGACACAGCACATTCGCGCCGTTATGTGATGACGAGGGAGAACCGCATGGATACATAGAGTATGCTACCAAATCAACGGGTTTCAACAATGATTGCCGAGCCAAAGATAGTGAGGGTGCCACGATTCGGCCCAGGGCTTTGACGCGTCTTCACGTGGTCTCCAACACAGCTGCATCCGCGAGTGCTATGTAAGACTAGAACATCAGCATGGCTTAGCGGTATGGTGGACTCTGGTATTATAAATGTCGCTGTGCGGAAAGAGGCCACAGTCGCTTACTGGCATTTGAGTGTGGCAGCTTAGAAATCACGCTGCCTCGGCGGCCCAGGAGATCCGACGCGGCCCCCACTTGCCCAACGATGCACTTGACGCACTGTATCGCGCCTGCCTCACCCCCAAGCGCGACTGCTATAACAGTAGCCATGCCACGCCCTTCCGGACGCCGTCTATCCCCCATATCAATTCACCGTCCACCATGAGCGCTCCGAAGCCAATCCTCATTTCCGGCGCCGGCCTCGCCTCGCTCCTACTCGCCCGCTCGCTGCACCGTTCCAAGATCCCGTTCCTCGTCTTCGAACGCGACGCGTCCATCGTCTTCAGAGCGCAGGGTTATAGGCTGAGACTCTCAGCGCAGGGTCTGGACGCCATTGAGCAAGTGCTCGGTCCGGCAGGATTCAAGACCTTCTACGACGCCTGCGGCAAAACTGGCGGGGCTGGATTCGCGGCAGTGAACCCGCTGACAGGCGAGACAATAGGTGGAGATGCTCCGAGCGTCAAGAGCGAGCCTTTGACCAGCAGAGACGGCAAGGTCGTTGGAGTGTCGCGCGGTGATATGCGCAAGCTGTTCATGGACGGCATCGAGGACCGTGTGGTTTGGAAACATCAGGTCGCAGCCTACGAGAGGACGGACAATGGTGTGCGACTAGTCTTCGCCGACGGTACCAAGTCCGAGGAGGGCTCTATGCTGATCGGGGGTGAGGGTGTCAAGAGTGCAATCGCTGGTCAGCTGTCCAATGGGGCGATCAAAGTCTACGATCTCGGTTCCAGAGGAATACATGGACAAGCCCCGACAGCAGCCTTCAAGGCCTTGGGCGAAGGTGTCTTCCGCCTCGTCGACGATACATCACAGCCGAACGGCGGCAAGGTCTTCGTCATCACAAACGTGCGCGCAGGCGACATGGACAAGCCCGACGTCAACTTCGGCTGGACCATGATCGGCTCTCCAGGCGTCATCAAAGCGCCGAACGACAATTACACGATTACTGGGCCGCCTGCCGCACAGATAGCAAAGGCACTTACATCGCACTGGCATGATCGTGTCAAGCCACTCTTCGATAACATGGCCGAGTCGGAAGCAGCTTTCTGGAAGATAACATGTTCGTCACCAGAAGGTGTACCGAAGTGGCCCAATGACCCTCGTGTCACTCTGGTCGGTGATGCAGTGCATGCTATGACGCCAGCAGGAGGTAACGGCGCAAACACAGCTGTGCGCGACTCGGCTCTGCTCGGTCGATTGATAGCCGAAGCCTGGGAGAGAGGCGATGGCGATAGATGGACGGGTGTCACAGAAGCATATGAAAAAGAGATGCGAATATACGCAACAGAGGCTGTCAAGGCTAGTTATGGGCAGGCTACAGGGCAATTCGGCATTGATCTTGATCTCAACACTGCGCCTACAATTAACGAATATGTCGCGCCAAACTGAGTCTTCTTCGTTGCAGCAGACTGGTCATGATTCCGAACAGGATTTAGCGTCACTTTCCTATGAGACGGCATTAGGTCGTGTTGACGAATGATACGCATCATCTTCATCCTTACTTTTACGTGCGACTCACGGTCACTAACGATACATGGTGTTCTGGCTGGACAATTGCAAGCCCCCAAGTCTGCCGCGGGACGAATGTCGCGTCCTCCGTTGCCGATTGTAGATTCCGCCGCAGAGCCACGACTCATGTGTAGCTTCCCCGCATCTCCATCAGGCCCACCCCCGACTTCAAAAAACCGGGCCATCCAGTACGTGCGAAATTCCCGATAACAATGGATTCGCCGCGACCACGCAAACGCCGTGCCATCAATGCATGCGTCAGTTGCCGAACGTCCAAAGTACGATGCGACGGGAACCGCCCTTGCCAACGATGTGACCGGAATGGCGCAACTTGCCAATACTTTGACGCCGTAAAGGACGAAAATGTGTTGCGGATCGAAAGGCTCGAGAATGAGATGGCTGCTCTTCGTGAACACATGCGTATCCAGCGACATCAAGACAAGAGTGTACGTAGGCCTGAAGACTACACTTGGATAAAGGAGGCAAATCAGAACATCTGGCGCCAATGTGGGCTGTAGGGCGTTCTGGTTCCTCCTTATTTGAGGTGGTGTCCTGCGCGAATCAGCGGAAAGCTAGCTGACCATGATAATGATTGCAGTTACCCATGGAGGATGCGACTGGGACAGTGCCAGAAGTCGTACTCCGGTCTATGCCCAAGTGCAACGCAACGGCCGTTGACGCAGGTCTCATCACATGGGAACAAGCTGTCCACTGGTATCAAAGGTAGACAAACTCGCTGCACTTCTCGAGTTTAGATCACTGATTCTACAAAGTTTCTTCTCGGGCAGTGTATGGAAGCCCCGATTCACCTGGTGAACCATACTAAAAGCCATAGCAATACCTCGTGCCCATCTTTTGCGAGAGACATGACAACATCGCATCAGTGGCTTCACGGAGTCCAATCCTTTTTGACGCCATAGTCAGTATTGGATGTCGCGCTGCCGAAGGTTTCAACACCAGAATCTATCGTCAGTAATTTTCCTGTATGAACTGCATATGAGACAAATGCTGACGCTGTACACTCATTTCTAGGCCGCCTCCAGACTCGAGTCCGTGATCAATTTACCGACCTATTCATCAACACCAATACCCCTACAGTAGAGGATATACAGGCCATCGCACTGGTGGCTGCGTACTCGGAGAACGCGTTCGTTCTGGTGGCCATGGCCCTTCGCTTTGCCATTCAGCTTGGGCTACCTCATGTTGTCGATCAGCTCATCGCCAAAAGTCACGCACGTTCCGGCATCGTGACCGCCCATGAGCAAGAGCTTTACCGTCTATCCAGAGTCTGGCTTGGAATCTGCAATCTTGAGCTCTTGTGAGTATCGTGTTAGCCTGATCGGAGAGCGCTGCTAAAAACATCCAAGTTTCTCCCTAGATGGCGGTAAACTGCCGGGCCTTTCTCTTCAAATGTCATCTCGAAAGATCAGATGTCTGTTAGCTCACCCAGAACGTACATCTACCGACATCCGCCTCCTCTCGCAAGTGGAGCTCAACATCATCCGCACGGAAGCTTATACAAAGATCATGGGCCAGAGTAATGACTATATGGGTCAACACAGCGAAGATCAACTCCGAACTACGGTAGATGAGGCTTGTGTTGAGCTGTCACTGTGGCTCGATGAATGGACCAACATTGCTCTGACCGAACCAGCGCCACATCAACGGACTCTTGCGTTGCAGAACTTGTGTATACAGCAAGCTTGGGCGACGATGACCATGTACCTAAAGGTGGTAGGCTCTTCCGGGATCGAGAACATTGCGATCATGACCGAATTTCAGCGCGACTTCATACGCAAAGCCAAGGAGGCAGCGAATCGACACCTTCACTACATGCTTCAGTCATCGTCAACACCAACTTCATCGCCGGTGTCTCATGCCTCGACCTCTGGCTCAACGTATCTCAGTACTTTTCGCTGGACACTCGACTATGTCTGGGCTAAGTGCGCCGTCTCAGTTTTGCTGGTCCTCAAGTTAGCCATTCTCCTCCGCGACCCGGTACCTTCGGTCATGGCGCTGCTCAGCGACGCGCATCGCGTACTGGAAGAGCTAAAGACTGTTACCGTGGGCCACATCGCATACTTTCAGATCTTGCAAACCAGCATCGAGAAGTGTGAAGCTGCTCTCCGAGAGTATGCTGCGGAACAGATACCCGACCAGGACTCTTCGATGGCGGGAGCGAGAAGCAGTGTAGCTGAAGACGAGTTCCAGGGTTACGTTCCCAGCGAGTTCGTCTTCGAGTGGGGTAAGTTTGGACTGTAGAAACGCTTGTGAAATTTATACTGACTTCGTATGTCCACCTCTGCAGACTTTCCTGGGCTTAACCTAAAACATATGCCGCTCGGATGGCAAGACCTCTTTGTCAATATCGACAGCTTGTTCTAGACAAGACGCATGCTTGGAAGGCAGGCTGCTATACAAGAGCCGTGCATGGTGCGTGGATCCGAGGGTCAAGCATATCCTGGAAGTATCAACAGTGTTTACATGCACATGTCAATGGAACAAATGTTGTATGTACGTTCAGTATATATTGTAGCTAAGCTACATCTGTAGGAAGTCGTGTTTCAAGCGTCGACCCATCGATCAATAAACATAGATGAAGTCTTCGTTCTTGATGTCAGTCACATCATCGAACGCCTTGTCGCCCACACCGCTGGCTTGTGCGTTCTCAGCTTCCTCTGCATCACCCTCGCGTGCAGAACCCATGCTGGTATCAACGACAATGGCCGACTTTCCCATGCTCTCTCTCGTTGCCGCATGCTTCCGGTTCAGAAGCTTGATCCAGAACATTGCAAGCAGGATGAGGACGACGATTGCGATGAAGAGAGCGAGGTTGGCGCGGAGCCCTCGGTAGTAGTGTGGTTTTTCTGACGGTTTGAAGAGCTGTGGGCCGATGATGTTGCCTGCGCTGGCGCCGACGAAGAGGATACTTGTCGTCACTTTGCGCTTCGTGTCGCCTCCTGTGTTTTGGCCTGACCAGCTATAGATTAAAGGTGAAATGCCGGGATAGAAAGACGTCAGCTGGAAGCACAGGGTTAGTAGGTTACATGTTTTGCGTTGCCACGACTTACGTAGTATCCGAGAAGAAGTACACCGCGATTCGAGTCGCCGCGGCCAACGACCATGAGGATGACAATACCGGCGATTGGTGGTATACATAAGAGTATCAGCACGGGCGACTTCCGTTTCAGCCACGTGGCTAGCCAAGCTCCACCGCAGGTAGCTATAATCTGGATGACGCCGAAAGGCATGTTGAAGAGGATCGTAGCGAAGGGCCCAAAACCAAAACCTAAAATTCGGGCAATCAGTGGAGTTCAGACTTGCAGCTTGCAGGAACGTTGGACTTACTCTGGATGATCAGAGGCCCGAAAGCACTGATACCACCACTCGGGATGCTGATCGCTGTCAACATGGAAAACCAAAGCCATGTCTTGGGATCCATGAATGCCTCCAGTACGTGGTCCCACTTCCAGACACGAGATGCAACGCCCATCTGGTTCATACGCAGACGTTCGACAGCGACGAGCTTTTCGTGATCGTTGAAGAACTTGGCCTAAAGATTGGGGCACAAAGTCAGTATATCTCACATCGCTCGCATGGGGGAACCACTTGCCTCCATGGGTGAGTCGGGCATAAACAACCATACAAAGACCGAAACCACGACTGTGAGGAGACCACAGAAGAGAAAGATGATCTGGTATGAGTACAGAAGATTGGACTGGATGTGGCCCAACCCGTAGCAGAGCAGACTGCCGAGGATGTTGACCATACCCAGCATAGCGTACCAAGCTGCGTTTCGGTTCGTCTGCTCGCCACGCTTATACCACATTTGAACAACGGCGATGAAAGCAGGAGCTAGATGCGTTAGCGATAGTCTTCGAGATGGCTTGAAGAGTTGGCTTACCAACGGCAGCTTCGAAAGCGCCCAACAAGAATCGCGTGGCCATCAGCCCGGCGAAGCTGCTGGCACCCGCCATTCCGCATAATATGCAGCCCCAGGTGAACACCATTACACCCATGAACTTCCCCATCCTGAGCTTGACCAGCAACACTGCCACCAACGGCTGTGCCACTAGCTGCGCAATGTACACGATACTCCCAAGCCATGAGTATTGTTGACTGTTGGGATCGAGGTTTGCATCTTCGATGAGGCCAAAGACGGAGGCGTAGGACAACGTGGTCTTGTCGAGTGATTGGAGGAAGTAGACGCTGAGTAGGATGGGCAAGATGACAAGATCGATCTTCTTCAAGACGCGTTTGTTCTCGGCGGATGTTACGACGATGCGTTCGTTCGAGGCGAGAAGTGCGGCGGCTTTGTCTTTGCCTTTGCCGTCCGTCGCATTGGCTGGCTTGTAAAGCGACTCCGTGGTTTCGACATTGGGCTTGGAGGCGGCGACGTCGTCGGTCACCTCCGGTTTCGACATGTTCGACAAGAAGACTATAATCAACCCAGGAAGAGTCTGAGATAATGCTGCAGTAGTAGGTCAATATGGCCCGACTGCACTTATACGCATCCCCACGGGGACCCCAGACGCTGATCTTGTCTCTCTTCGGGCTAGGTCTCGTAGCTACGGCCGAAGAAACCGGCAGCCAAGGATGGATGCCTTTAGCCTCGTGACGAGGGTAGGCTCCTTCGGTTTTCTCCGATGGTACCTTCGGGCGAAGTTCACTGGCCTGCCTTGCTATAAGTACAGTATGATTCATGATGGTCATGATACTTGGCAAGAAGACAGGCATTGCTAACTGTTAAACCCGTTCTATACTCATCATGCCGATGCTTGAGCACGTCCCCAGCGGCTACCAAGCTGCTCCCGCGGCGGCATCGTCTAATACGAGCGTTGAGTTGCAATCAAACTCGGGCTTTGTTTTCACGTTTGACGCTTTACGACCTGGACTTTTCCGAACGACTTTCACGTCGCCCAAGCACTTGTTGCCGCCACACCGAGCCACACCAGTACCGAGCAAGACCCTGGACGACACGACTGCGGCACGGGTATCATCAAGCACCACCTCAAAAGCATTCGCCGTCGATGGAGTCACTGCCAATGTGGATTGGGAAGGCGGTGTACCCATAGTATCACTTACGCTTCCTGGCCAAAAGACACCCATTCATACCGATCTGCCCAATCGCTCCTATGTTGCTGATGGGCCTGGGGTTTCGCACTACACACGCTACAATAATGGGACTCTTCACCTTGGACTTGGCGAGAAGCCAGCACCCATGGATTTATCAAATCGCCATTTCGTTCTCTCCGCCACCGACTCTTTCGGCTACGATGTTTATCGCACAGACCCGCTCTATAAGCACATTCCTCTCCTGATCAATTGCACGCCAGATGGCTGTGTTGGTGTCTTCTCAACGTCACATGCCCGTGGCTTCTACTCTGTAAGAAATACCGCTGTACACCTGCATCTGAGACACATACTGACCTCTTTTACCAGGTCGGCTCTGAGATGGATGGGATGTGGGGACGCTTCAAAGTCTATCGTCAAGACTATGGGGGTCTCGAGGAGTATCTCTTGGTCGGAAAGACACTACCGGATATTGTGCGCATCTACGCTGACCTCGTTGGCTATCCACTTCTGGTGCCGCGGTGGGCATTCGGTTACCTGGCCGGCGGTATGAAGTACTCCATGACCGACGATCCACCTGCTAATCAGAGCATGATGGAGTTTGCTGCCAAGCTCAAAGAACACGACATTCCCTGCTCTGGCATGCAAATGTCATCTGGCTATACGGTCGCGGAGACAGAACCCAAGACGCGCAACGTGTTTACGTGGAACAAGCACCGGTTTCCTGATCCGAAAGGCTGGATCGACGCTTATCACAAGGAAGGCATTCGGCTCATTGCAAACGTGAAGCCGTATGTATTGGGTAGCCATCCCGAGTATCAAAAGCTCAAAGACGCTGGCGCATTCTTTACGGATTCGTTGACACTCGCATCAGCTGAAGCGAGACTATGGAGCGCAGGTGGAGGTGAGAGCGGAGTCGGTGGCCATATCGACTTCACTTCCAAGGCCGGGTACCAGTGGTGGTACGACGGCATCCGCGAGCTGAAGCGTGTAGGTATTGACTGCATCTGGAACGACAACAACGAATACACTGTCCCACACGATGGCTGGCAGTGCGCTCTGGATGAGCCAGCAGTTACGCAAGAGCCCAAGAGCGACGACTATGGCAACAGCATCGGATTCTGGGGTCGCGCACTCAACACTGAACTGATGGGAAAATCTTCGCACGATGCGGCCTTGGAGATGGAACCTGGGCAACGCCCTTTCATCTTGACCCGAAGCGCCACAGCAGGAACGCTTCGATACTGCGCAAGTGCCTGGAGCGGAGACAATGTCACCTCTTGGCCAGGCATGAAAGGCGCCAACGCTCTGTCCCTCACCGCGGGCGTGTGTCTAATGCAATGCTACGGCCACGACATAGGCGGTTTCGAAGGCCCACAGCCCAGTCCCGAGCTTCTCGTCCGCTGGTGCCAGCAAGGCATCTACAGTCCGCGCTTCGCCATCAACTGCTTCAAAACGGGCAAAGACAACCGCGTCGGCGATGTGATCGAGCCTTGGATGTATCCCGAGGTGACTAGCACAATCCGCGACACGATCAAGCGCCGCTACGAACTCATCCCCTATCTCTACTCGCTAGCGCTGCATTCGCACATGACTGCCACGCCACCGCAGCGTTGGACTGGATGGGGATATGAGAGTGATCCAGAGATTTGGACCGACAAGATACTTACCGATGGCGAAACACAGTACTGGCTTGGTGATGCACTACTGGTCGGTGGTGTCTTCACTCCTGGTGCCGAGACTGCTAGCATGTACCTTCCCAAGGACGCTTCAGACCCTGATGCCGCGTTTCTGGACCTGAACAACGACCCACAAACGTATTACAGCGCGGGACAGTGGGTTGATGTTGCATCGCACTGGCAGTCTAGCATTCCTGTCTTGGCGAAAGTTGGAAGCGCGATACCTGTTGGACGGGCGGAACAAGTCCTCTCTGTAGGCGAAACAAACAACCCGGCGAACCTGCCCCTGGACGACTACCGGGGGGTAGAGATCTTCCCTCCAAAGGCTTCTTCCAACGGTAAAGTCTACACGTCTACTTGGTACGAAGACGACGGTGTTTCGCCGCCGCCAGCCAGGATCTCCAGGTTCATAGTCTCTTTCGAGTCAACGGCCACGCAGGTACTGGTGCGATATGAGGAGAAATTGCAAGATGGCTTCGTCCCGCATTGGAAGGACCTGGAGGTTGTCCTGCCGAGGGGCGATGAGAGAAGTGTTGTCTTCAATGGCGCAGATGCGGAGAAGACGGGAACTGACAAGTTGGGGAGAGGAAGGTGGAAGGGTAGTGTTGGAGGGAGGAAATAAGCGTTGATTGCAGCTAGCACAAATTGAGCTGCGGATATTTCATATGTACCCGCTTGTGCCGCTCTGTGATTAGACCCTGATGGTTTTGCCCCGCTAGACACGACACCGCATTTTGGTGGCCGATCACGGCGAATGCAAGGACCGCTGTATAGATGTAGGTTATAGATGCCATCCACAAATTAGATCATAAAACGTTTATTTGAAGCGTTTGCCATGCAACTAGCAAGCCTTCCTAGCTCAGTGGTAGAGCGCGTCACTAGTAATGACGAGGTCGTCAGTGAGTAACACCCCCATTCGAAGCACCCAGGAGACGACCGACGCTGACGTGCCGTGAAGGTTCAATTCTGGCGGAAGGCAACTACGGCAGCAGGCAGACGCCATTCCTTTTTGCTTGTGTTGTCCTGGGGTTCTGTTGGAAGAAGGTTCTTTTTTGCGGCATTGTGGTGGCTGAGGGGCAAAGTGGGGCTCATGCAACAACATGAAGAGCGGGATGTTGGAAAATTAAACCAACAGGAATAGTCTTTCCCAATCCCTAGCTGCAACGGTGTCTCTTACAGTAGGAATTGGACGTTATCCTCATCGTTTAGTCTTGCCACGATCAGGGGTTTCTTCTCAACCACCAAGAACGTCTCCAGTTCCCTCTACAATGCCCTCACTAAAACGTTCCCATCTCTAACCCCAAGACGGTATACTCTAACAAACTCACGCTCTGCTTCGTCTCCCCTACGCTTACCAACAACAACAGTACCAGAACCCGTCGTCGGCTTCTCAGCACCAGGTTCCTTCGGCTTCTCATCACCAGGTTCCTTCGACTCTTCAAGCCACGGATACCACGCCCTGACAAAATTAACATCCCCCACCGACGGCGCCGTATTAACCTGAATCGCCCACGTGGACCCAAAGCGCGCAGCAACAAGCGGACAAACACTGATATCGTTCTTTTCCCAGCAATTAGAGTCCGCGGCATACGCATTCGAAGGATAAATCATGATGGAGCCGAGGTCAAAGGGGCCTTCGTCCATGATGGGAGCGTAGATGCTGTTGAAAGCGGCGTTCTTGATGTACTGGGCACCAGCATCAAAGTTGAATACGTTCGCAAAGCCTTGCTCGGTGCAGAGGCGTTCTGCGGCGTCTTGGTGGCCGGCGACGCTGGCGGCGATGAGGGCGTCTTTGTAACCTACTAGTTTGTCGCAGCGGAAAAGGACGTTTTCATCGCGGTCAAACCGGCAGTGCTCGTGAGCCATGCCGAGGACGTGGCCGATCTAGCTCTTGTGTCAGCGGACTTGGAGACGAGGGGTGCTCGACTGGCAACATGGAGACTTACTTCGTGGGCTACCCGATGTGGCTCGGTGCTTTTCGAGCCCATGACTATGTAATGACGGCCAGCGGTGGTTTTGCGATGATCATACCCAATACTAGCGTATGGCGCTTCTTCTTCTACCCCAAGGTGTATTGCAAGAGCGTCCGAGCTCACTTTTGGGTTCCACGTCCCAGGCTCTTTCTTGTTCTTGTAGTCATCGAGGTAGCAGGTCGGATATGTTCTCTCATTTTTATCCTCGTTGCCGTCATGAATCTCCATCCACCCGAGGCAATGGCCGCTCACAGCACTTGCCGGTGTCTTGATGGCGTCGGCCCATATCTTGAACCCCTTCTGGAGTGGACAGTCAAGTTCCGCTTTGGCTTTGGCAGTCGCAAAGCAATATCGAAGGAGACGAATCCGGCCCTTCTTGGGGATGCTGATGGGAGGCCAGGGTTGCGCGATACCAAATTTGAAGTGATTCATGTTACCCTCCTGGGGGCCGATAGAGCCAAGATCGAGGGCGTCAGTTTCGGATCCGGTGCGACAGTACCGATTCGTGGAGGCTAGTACTAATGTAAGAACCCCTAAGAACAGGAGAAATAACAAGGCCATACGCATTGCAACGATTCCTGGTAGACAGGCAGATGAGATCGGTTCTATATGTAGCGGTAATGGTCGTAATTGTCAGGTTGATCCTTATGTACATTCCACTCGACTATGGATATGATTCAGCGTAGACGCTAGGTCACGACTCCACAAGAAGTGAATGTGCAGCTGCGTAGAAAATTATTTCAGGCAACGATGTCAGGTAGGAGGTTGATGCGATCGCGTGCGCACACATCAGGGACCGTGCGAACGGCTGCACTACCACATCGACCTCAAATTGTATAGTGCGTGAAATGTTGTAGAACGAGTAGTCGGGCATCTCAAGCTATGTTGATAAAAGAAACACCGGGTGCAATGATGAAGGCTGTGAACCAATCCTGTGAACATTTTGAATGAATGATTCCATGTATGCTCTACGCTTGCCATGTGATACCGCGTCATCTACGAAGACATGCCATACAACGCCAGTCTAAATGCAGTATATGCTTGTGGAAATGAACTGAAAGTGAAGGGAAAGATCGCTGAATGATAATGAGGGTATGACGCTATGCAAGAAACAAAGAAGGGAAATGTAATGCCGCTAGGACTTAGATCTCACGTCCTTTCTTTTCCTGATGCTCCAATTCTTTGACGTACTTGACGAAGGTTTTCTTATGAACCTACTTGCAGTTAGTATTGCTAAGTCTCGACTTCGAACGTGATACGTACCAGACCAGCGTACTTGCCATCTCTGAGCACGCATATATATCGTAGTCCGAGCTTTACAAAGCATTCGTATACCAAGTCCATCGGTGAGTGAACATCCAATGCAACAGGTGCTGGGTCAATATATGGAGTGAAATCACTTGGATCATAGGCTTCTTGCTCTTCTTCGTCTTGGGGCTCACGCCCTGCAGCCCAATCAACTCGCGGTGACATGAGGCAAAGCGTGTTCTCTTCGTTCTCCAGCTTATCGAGCGCAAACTCTAGATCTGGTGCAGGAATGAGGCCAACAAGAACGCCGTTTTTTATGATGGACAGGCCGCCGTCCAGTTCACCTATCATTTGTAGTCCACGTTGCTTTGCACGCAGCTCGACTGCAGGAATGAGCGCGTCTTCTGAAATGTCGATGATATGATCCTGTCTCTTCCCAGTAGTGATGTCGCCAAGCTCGGATGTGAAGATGGGTCGAACTTTGTTATCGAGGAATGGGTACGAGTTCATGTCTGTGAGCAAGTCGTAGATACTGAGCGGTTCAATAGCATCCGCCACCCATTTTGCGACCAGGATGCCGAGAGAGAAAGGGAGTACGTGATCCAGACTACCCGTGAGCTCGAACAAGATGACGGCCAGTGTGATACTGAGACGAGTGACGCCGGTCATTGTTGCTCCAGCAGCCACTAGCGCGTACACTCCAGGAACGACGCATGAACCTGGCGGACCGTCAGGCGAACACTCTCCGAAGACGCCCAGATGATTGAAGCGTAGAGCAGCAAGTTGAACAGTGTGGCCGATGAAGCGCCCGGCGAGACCGCCTACGACCATGGAAGGTACATAGATACCGGCTGGGACCTTGATACCAAAGGTGACGACAGTCAGAAGAGCTTTGATGATAAATGCGAAGAACAAGGTTTTGAGTACGCTCGGAATATGCTCGAGGGTCGGACAGAGACCGTCGCCGGTGTCAGTGTACGTGTCGCACGGACTTGCCAGTTCGAACAAGAGTTCGGTGACGGGAAGTTTGGTGTATCGGTTCCAGAAACTGATCAAACCAGTCACAAGCGCAACCAAGAAGACCTCAAGGAGCGGATGCTTCTTGATAACGGGTATGCGACGGAATGTCCGTGCCCAGATGCGAGATGCTTTGATGAACAATGCGCCGAGAACGCCGCCCACAGCGCCGGTGAACACAAAGGTTGCCAGTTCAAAAAACTTCCAGTCTAGATGATAACGAACCTCGAAAAGCACGATCTTCTTGGTGCCGTATGGATCCAGGAATTTAAGAGATAACGCAGCCGCCTATAAGGGATTAGCAAGGTCGAGAGGAGAGACTAGCGACTTACGATGCAGCAAAAGAAGGTTCTGAAGAGCGTCTTGGACGGAAAGTAGTAGCTCACTTCCTCCAGACTGAAGAGCACTCCGCCAATCGGAGCGCCGAAAGCTACGGCAACACCACTAGCGGCACTAGCGCTGAGAATCTCCCTGCGTTTGCCGTCGTTGTTGCTATACTTTGAGAATATACGACACGCAATATTTCCTATGCAAGTCGCAATGTGCACGTACGGGCCCTCCTTACCGAGACTGAGACCCGATGCAACACTGAGGATCAGAGCTAGCGTCTTGACGAGCAGTGTGCGTACACCCAGATAACCGTGGAGAACGAAACCACTGAGGATGACCTTGACTTCGGCTACACCACTGCCAGCAGCGGAGTAGTAGACCATGGGTGGCCGTGCCTGGACTTCCTGGAACCTTGACTCTGGGCTGATGCTGCGCTTGCGGTCTTCTTCCTCTGCCTGATCAGAGTATCTCCGAACTTCCGCGCCGAGGTTTTCGTCGAGTGTGGACAGTGAGATGGCTGAAGGAATGACTGTTTTTGTGGTGAGCGTGAGCAGGCACGAGGCCATGGAGAGCAAGATGACGGAGAGGACGAAAAAGCCATATTGGGTCTGGACGACATCCAGCCTGTCATTGCGGACCGCCTCGGACCACTTGAGCCAGTTGTCGCATATCGAGGCACCTTGGCAGCACGCCTTGCGGCTCTTGTTCCAGCCGGTAGTGCAGTAGCCCTGCTTCAGATCGAACAGCGTGGTCTCGGTGGTGTTGACGAAGTAGGCGCACACGGCAGTGAGCACGCCGATTAGAGCTACCAGGATCCAGCCCTGCGCACCGTCGAACCACGCGGCTAGGCGGCCCCTGATGTCCTTTCGGCTCCGCAGGGCCTTGACGCGATAGGCGTCGGCGATGTTGTCGTGGACCCAGTCGGTCGACGTGAACTGATCGTACCACACGCGATTGTCCTGGAAGAAGGAGGCCTTTGCGGAGTGCATGCTCTGCTCGAGGCCCGCCCCCCGCTCGCCCAGGGCATTGACGAGGCGCTGGCTGAAGGTGTGGCCGCCGGTGAGGGAGCCCCGGCGGCTCCGCATGCGCGAGCTGGTGGGCAGCTGGCTGTTGTTGCGCGTCATGCCCGGGCGAGGGGTGCCCGGGGAGGTGGCGGGCAGGCTCTTGTAGGACCTGGCACCCCGCAGATGGGGCACTCCTAGCAGGGCGGTCCGCTCGTTGACGCTGCCCGTCGACCTCGTGAGGTCCGTGTCCGAGGCACGCATCGGGCGCTGGGCGCTGAAGGTGAGCGTGGGCGACGTGGGCGTGGTGCTGCTGAAGGTGTCGTCGCGCTCGCGCTGTTCGGCGGCGTAGTCATCGTCGGCGTCGTAGTCGTCGACGCTGTGGTACGACTGCATCGACTTGGGCATGGCGAGGGCGGTGGGTAGGGAGGCAGCAGCTACAATCGGGGCAGGGGCGGTCTATTAGTGTCGAGGGCAGCCAGAGACATGTCGCCGAGCAGAGGCCGCTATCATGGTCATCCGGAAAACGATGGCGGTGTCACGATGGATATGTTATGGCTGGGCACCATGGCTGCTCCCCACTATGCCGCGGATCCCTCCAGGATGCGTTGTTGTCCTGTGTCCGGGGCGAGATAGGCTCCGCCGCGGGTCCGCCAGCTGTTTCAGACCGGCTTGCGTGTGCAGGGCGGCCAGGCGAACAAAGCAGCAAAAGCAGCAGCTCGAGCAACTGGAGCAGGCAGCGGTGCGCAGCCCTCGGAGGCTGACCTCAGGTGTCTCACCACCGCAAATGGCGGTAGGCGCGTCCCATGTGATTATTGGGGTGCACCCGTGGACGCGATGGTGACGGAACGCAGGGCAAACGGAAGGTGCTAACCCTACACGGAGAAGGCGCGAGGCCGTAGCCGCCAATCGCAGCCCCCAGCCCCACCACTACACACTGACGTGCGTCTCGCGGTCGGGAGAATTGGGGGGTAGAGGCTGCCAATCTGTCGTTTCTTATCCGCCCGTGCATCCATCTGCTGCTGAGCCGCTGATCTGAAGATACAGACGACGCAACTCGGGAAAGCCGGTTTCGGAACACCGGGATTTCGCCGAGCGAGATATCCAAGGTACTAGCAGACATTCCGGAAGGTCTGACGACGATCGTGCCTACATCTCTCTAAAAGCATTCAAGATGGTGAGTCCTGCTGGACATTGAGTGCCATTGGGACTACGTGCTGATGACTGTAGCCTGCTCTCTATGAACAGTTTTTCCTCTTCGGAGACAGCATAACCCAAGACTCCTTCTCCCAGGAGCGAGGCTTTGCCTTCTCTGCAGCCCTTCAAGCTGGTCAGTCCAAATATCATCATGTCTCCCGATCACTATCCCATGCAAAACATCTCTTCGTGAAGCTTCCGCGGCGGCCATTGGCTCGGGCGACTGTGAATGGCACTAATGATTCCAGCAGCATACATCAGGCGACTGGATGTAGTCAACCGCGGCTTCAGGTTATGACGTCCTACCTTTACGACCGCACCGACAGCTAACACCATGACAGTGGGTACAACACCCGCCAAGCTCTCCAGATACTGCCCGCCATCGTGCCCCCGCCGGATCAGGCTAAGATTCGGTTCATGGTAAGACTTGTCCATGCTAGATGCAGCCCTGACTGACCATACAGACCATCTTCTTCGGCGCCAACGACTCATCGTTACCAGATGCGCCAAACAAGCAGCATATTCCTCTTGATGAGTTCATCAAGAACCTAAAGGACATCATGTCCCATCCGCAGATCAAAGCCCACGACCCTCGTATCATCCTAGTAGCTCCTCCCCCAATCAACGAGCATCTGTGGTGGCCAAGAGACCAGTCGAACGGATATGCTAGCGTGACGCGACTGGCGGGTGCGACCAAAACATATGCCGATGCAGTCGTTCAACTTGGCGCCGAGCTTGGCCTGCCTGTCGTAAATCTCTGGAAAGCCTTCATGGCGAAGACGGACTTCAAAGCAGATATTTGGAAGCTGGGCGATGATCTACCGGGCTCTTTAGACGTCTCGCAGAATGACGCCCTCGTGGAGCTTATGTACGATGGTAAGGGTTTCGCAAAACCTTCCTGTTTCCTCATCATGCTAACTGCACGTTTCAGGGCTTCACTTGAACCCAGCAGGATACGAGATCTTCTACCAGGAGTTGATCAAGGTCATCGCAGAGCAGTGGCCGGATCAGGTAAGTTCTGACTGTATGAAATGCATGAGGTAGATACTGACTTTGTGCCTCCACTTTTGCAGTCGCCTGAGAAGCTGCCCATGGTACTGCCGCCGTGGAACGATCAGGAAGCGTGGAAACAGTGGGAGAGTGCTCAGTCTTCTTCGATCTAGCGCAAAAGTGGTAGACATGGTGGATGTGGGCAAGCTTGATTTCAGCTGCGCGATCAAGCGGGGCTCTGGGGAAGTCGTGTCCAATCGGGCGAGGGTGCATAACTCCGGCGGCTTGTGGTTAGCAGCGTCACTCGACGAACCTCAGCTCAGCATCGCGTCAACAGGACGCAAGAATACACCAGCAGTCAGATTTTCCTGTTCCTATTTCCTTTCCTGTTCAAACTTTTCTGGGACACTGTACATTATCTCGCTCCCTCTAGCGCCGTCTCGGGAACCGCCTGATCTTCGGCAAAGACCGCTGTTGCGACCATCGTACCTTCTGCTCCAGTAGTCCAACTAATCACACCGCCCAACACCCAACGCCTGCTGTCTGAGATAGTAGCACGGCCGATATCTCTCCACAGATCTTGCCTTTACCTCCAAATTGCCCACCGAACACCTCGATAGTCGGCTTCAAACGCATTCCTCACAACCGACGACCCAGACCCGCGCACACCGCAAACGCCTACTCTGTTAAACAAGAGAGACTGCCACAAAAGAACTGGGCTACTGGGCAGCGTTCGCTCGGTGGTGAAGGTAGGGGAGTCCCCACGGGAAGGCTGGTGTCTCTTTGTTGAGCACGTCACCAAGGGATGAGAGAGTCACGGGCATGGATCCTCAGAGCGTAGCCTTCCAGCCGCGCGACGATTTCTGGCGTTTTCAAAGCGAAATGCTACGTGTGCAGGAGCACCAGGCCGAACTCGCCGATCGTGTCGCCCGCCTGGAGCGCAAGCAGGAAGACGACTCGCGTCTGAAGAACGTCTGGGGGACTTCATCGCCCTTTCCTTCGGTGCTGGGGGGAACACCCCAGCAGGGTAAGACGCTTCACCTGAATTTGTGCATCTTTAGCTGAAAACTGTTAGTTCCCCTGCAGCAGCCAACCGCCGAACACTTCACGAACTTCGACGACCAGTCCAGCAATCTCATCGGCAATCTCCAACTTGACGCCGACGAGGAACCCCGCCGTGTAGGGGCCACATCTCGCGCGAACAGCGTCCGCTTCGATGAGACTGCCAATCACGGTCACTGGGCGCATGCATCGAGATCGTCGCTGGATTTGATACCCCGCACTGGTAGCAGCATGGGCGGGCATGTAATGAGCGAGCGCAGCTACTCCCACAAGTCAGACGGAAGGCAAAGTTCTGCCGGCCAGTCGGTGCATTCTATGGCTTCGGGTCGCGCCAACAGCCTCACTAGCTTTGGTCCGACAACGCCTCAAGACGTCCCAGGGCTGGCTCCTGGCTTGTTCATTCTCGGCTCCGTTCCTGCCATAATACGTTGCTGGCTCAACACCAACTTCAAACACGACACCTTGCTGTATGCAGCAGTCTGTTCAGGTTCATACACATCCTATTTGGACTGGTACACAATTGAACACCTGGGCTTTCAGGATCGGGTCATTCTGGACGAGGACCGGGTTCGCAAGATCAAGCTGTCTGTCTACCTTCCAGAGGCTGTGCCTGTTTCAGCATCTTCACGATCCGACAGCCCGGCGCCGCAGCTTCCTTCAATAGGCGTAGATTTCACCGTCATCGAGGAGCACGACGCTCAGGTGAATCCAAAAGCCATTCAGATTTTCCTTGGTAGCGACATGCTTCGAGCACATAATGCCGACCTCCTTCTTTCATGCAACCAACTGACTCTGTATGATGATGACCGTAACAAGCTTCAGGTACCACTCGTCCGTCCTGAAGATGATCGCGCGTTCAAGTGCTTGCACGCTAGCGGTGCCTCTACGACGGATCCGAACCGCGCTACTTCGACTCTGGCTTCAGCGCATGCGCATCACACAACTCAGATGTCTAGCACTTCACCGACCCGTGAGACGTATTCGTCCATGGAGAAATCGAATGGCACAGGCCCAGTGACCAACTCTGAGGATGGCGGGTCAAGTGGCCGGAGGAGTCTCGAACAGCGTCCACAACCAGGCCTCTCAGCGTCAAGTCGCTCTGACAAGGATGCTCAGGAGCCGGGCTCTGTAAGTGGAGCTCCACAATCAGGAGCACCGCAAGCCATCTGGAGCAACTGGCGCCGTGACCAAGCGGAGAAGACAAACACGGGCTCTCTGGATTGGGCCAACGTGGGTAAAACCACCAGCTCAGATCCCAGCTACCAGCGACGTGATACAGGCATCAAAGTATTGAAACCTTCTAAATCCACGCGTACTCTGTCGACGTCAAACTCATCGCCTGTGACCGGGCAGTCACGCTTCTTTGATGATGGAAAGCGCAGAGGCGAGAGCGAAGCAAGCAACCCTGCGGCGGCTCCTCCGGTGAAGAGGAGTGTGTCTGGGGACAAAGCAAGGGAAAATATGCCTGGCCTGTCGAAGCCTCGATCTGCGAATCCAGTAGGCGGTGCCTCTGCTTTCGCATGGCTGAACAGTGGCGGATCAAGATGAAACGCGATGCTGCGCTTGTATCATACGTAACACCAAACGCCGGACAGAATACAGACTGTTGACATGGCGTCATGAATTCTACACATGCATGTGCTGTGGTTTCCCATGGTGTTGTCTAGGCGATTGTGACATGCACCAAACACAAACAGATGGTGTTCTGGCAGCTTCGCACACGCGACAGGGGGTGAGCATTCACCGCGTCGCCAAGCTCGCTTACCAAGGTAGTGTCCGCAAGGCTGAGCGGTCGGACAGCGATAGTGACGACGGCCCATGTCACGGCGCTGCTCTGATTTTTGCGGACATTGCGCTGTTACCCCTCGTTTGTTCACCGCCGTGCTACTGTGTTTGTGAAGAAGACGCGCCATTGCCCAGGTACTGCGGCCCGCTGCATAGTCCTTGTCCGCCTTTTGCTTGCCCTTTCACCCTCGCTCGTCCGCCCTGCACCGTCTGCCCTGAAGCTCTTCGCGGGCTTCACGGTAGGCAATCAGCTTCAAAACGGCCTCCACTAATAACAAGAAGCGGAAGATCGTGGTCCCCGCACGAGACTCGTCCAACGGCGACGGCACGCATTCACCGAATGTGGGCAGCGTCGGTGTAGGGTCCCCTCGCTCCTCCCCGCAACCCTCAGCATCGCCGCCACGCTATCTGCCACCGCACCTGCACGACGAAGTCTTGGTCGACACGCCCGACCCAGGCACGCTCTCGGCGCGAGACAGCTACACCGGGGCCAGCTCCCCCAGCGAAGCCTACGCCAACCTCACCCTCGACAGCCGCGAGGGCTCCGTCACCGACCAGGACCGCACACGCACCACCGAAGCACATCCTCAACGGCCCCCTCCACGCGCATCCTCACCCGCTAAGCGCCTCCACTCCGACATGGACGACAAGCCCGACGCACACGGCACGCGCACCAGCGACGCGCCCTCGGCCGCCCGCGCCAGCAAGCCCCTGCCTACCAGCACACCACAGCGCAGTGCACGCGCAACTTCCGTAGAGATGGCTGACGCGCCCGCCGGCAGCAGCCCCGACGGCGACGGCGACGATGACGCCACTGAGCAGCAGGGGCTCCCCGACATCGACGTGCAGGTGACTCGCGTCATGGGCATGATGTCGAGCGAGGCCCTTGTAGAAGGGCAGGAGGGCTACATTATTTCCGAGCAGTGGCTAGAGCGCGTGTGGGCAAGGACGTCGGAGAACAGGGGCAGGCCCAACGACTTCAGCAGGAACGCGACCTTGGGTCCCGTGGGCCCTGTCGACAACTCGCACCTCGTCGACCCAGAACTAGCGCACGAGAACTTGGTCGACCAGCATGGCGATGACTTCGTCGCGCTCAGCAAGGAGACAACCATGGGCCAAGACTTCGAGATTGTGCCCCGCAAAGCGTGGGATCTGGTCCTTAGCTGGTACGGGCTTGAGAAGTCGAGTCCCGTCATACGCCGCTACGCCCACAACACGGTACCGGGCCAAGTCAGCGAGGATATTTCTTACGAGCTGCACCCTCCCATCTTTACCATCCAGAAAGTGCGAAAAACTCCCAACGCCGCTGACAGCACGAAACCAGCCGCAAGGTTCGTCGCGAGCCGCTACGAGAGCTTTGTAGCCTTTGTCGACGCTGCGAAGAAAGCCGCAGGCGTTGACCCCAACAACAAAGTTCGCATTTGGCGCATTCTCACGCCCGCTCCTACAGACCAGCCACAGGCAACACAGCCATCTGGCATATTAACACCCGACGCGTCTCCCCAGAACGGATCTCCTGTTACGCCCGCACCCACGCAACGGCCTACACTCGTTATGGCGGCCGACAGTTTCAGTGCTCTTGCCTTTGGATCAGAGCGTGAGCTGGTCACAGGCAAAGACGAGACGGCCAATGAGATGTTCAACGCGTCTCTGACTTTGGCTGACGCTGGTCTGACCCAGGACCAGATCATTGTACTTGAGGAGCATGACGACAAGGGTGAATACATTGCCGACACCACCAAGACAGCTCCCAAGAACAAGGCTGGTGCCCTGACTGGCAAGGGCCTGCAGAGCAACCCCAACAGTGGTAGGAGCACTCCAACGGGAGGCCCCATGACGCGCGGAAGAAAGCAGAATGGCAAAGTCCGTGGCCACGTGGGACTTACGAACCTTGGCAACACCTGTTACATGAATTCCGCTCTCCAATGTCTACGGAGTGTCGAAGAGTTGAGCATGTACTTTCTGAATAACAAATGGAAAGACGAGGTCAACATCGACAACCCCATAGGCTTCAAAGGTGTAATTGCCAAGTCGTACGCTGGTCTTTTGAGCTCCATCTATGGCTTCGACAACAGCTCATCTGTCTCACCCAAAGACTTCAAACTCAAGCTTGGTAGGGCGAATCCCATGTTTTCTGGTTATGGCCAACAGGACTCTCAAGAATTCGTCAGCTGGCTAGTCGATGCGCTCCACGAAGATCTGAACCGTATACACAAAAAGCCGTACCGAGAGAACCCTGATTCCGATGACAATACCTTCCGGGACCCTGAGGCAGTCAAGCAACTCGGCGAGGTCTATCGGGAGAACCACCGAGCTCGGAACGATT